CGCTCCGCGCTGGAGACCTCGCGGGGCCCGATACCGACCCCCATATCTGCAGCCAGGCAGAGTCGAGCCTCCTGTAAGCCTCTTAGCTCGGCTGTCAAGCGTGGCGGCGCTGATGTCTCAATGTTGGTGCTGATTTTTTTTTTCTTCTATAAAGCGTGAACATCGATCCATTCTGGTGCACGGGAGGCGGAAGATAGAGCCGACAACATTCACCCGTTGGTGGTAAGAAGGTCAAATCTCAGAAGAGCTCAAGAGAACTTTGGAAATATTAAAAAAAGAATCAGCTGTTTTCTGATTTTATGGATCTGGATGTTTTAGACTTCCAGGGGCCAATTAGGTGTTACAGATTGCAGCAAGTCTCAATCTGACTCAGAGAGGCACAAACATCTCACAGGAGAAGCCTATAATAAGTGAGAGTTTCTCTTTGTGGCAGGAAATTACATTTCTCACCAGTTTTCTTTTTCACAGCATTAGACCTGTCACAGTCTATGACTTATTTAAAACTCCCTCTGTTTGCTCTCCAGAGCAAGCCCAGGCAAGTGGGTAAACCAAAGCTGATGGGGGAAAAAAGAAATGAAAAATAAATAAATAAAAAAAAAAAGCACCTTCCTTATCTGCACAGCGAGGCAGCTCTGACGAGAGAAGACACCCAACGACTCAGGTACATAAAAAAATTAATAAAAAGGCGACAGGAGAACTTTGCAGCACAGTGCTTTTCTGAAACTCTCTTGCAGAAGTCTCGAGTTAGAAACAAGTTGTTGTTGTTGTTGTTGTTGTTAGCACCATGGAAAGCACCAGAGACAGAGACCACTGATGACGTCACTGTGGCTAAGCCCCTCCCCCCGCCACCCTCCCTCCAGAAAAAGACAACCCCACCCTTTCCATCAGGTTCCCCCCTCCTCCATCACACACATCAGAGTTATTGAAACAATACTAAAAAACTACAGTGAAAGGTTTTGTTCACACTGCAGCTGCTTTGTGTTGAAATTCAAACTGTCTCAAATATTTTGTGTGTCTACTGTGATGTAACAGAAAAAAAGGAAAGTAGATGTTAACTGCTAACTAAAGACGAGTATGACTTCCTTTCATTTAGTGCTAACAGAAAAGCTGCAGCTCATCATCGACTCCACAGAGCTGAAATCTTGTGCACATTTTTCTCTTTTGCTCCTGCTTTGTCTCTAACACGATAAAAAAAGTAAAATACCTTTAGAGTTTTTGCAGCCGACCTCTTTTTTTCCCACTCAGTTTGTGACTTTCTTAGTTTGAGTCTTTGAACTTTTGCACCTGAGCTTCATTGTTTTGTACCAACAAGCTGTTTGTTCGTCTTTCCATTGTTGTTACCGTCTCAACAGTTTTCACAGGTAAATTCAGTTTCTGTTTAAATTTGGTTCAGACTTCGTACCAATGATCAACGTGGTGAAGAGAAAAATATCTGACGTGAACCTGGACAGTGGTGCAGTGTGAACGGAACCATGTGAAACAAAAGGGGAATAAAGATGCACAGATGAAACCTTTGTTTCGATGCCAGTCCTTTTACACAGTACAAAGCAGTCTATGCTGTGTTCAGCATGACACAGAGTGTGTGTATGTGTTGATGATATTTGTGTTTGTAGTCCTCATTACAGTAGCACCTTGATGGGTGTTTTACAGCTTAATCACCCGAGGAAAAAGCTGAAGTACATTTAAGAGATTTTATCAGAAACAGACTGAATGTTTACAGGAAGTGACGCCACCTAGACAAGATGAGGATGTCAACGATCTCAATGACAAAATAACATTAAAATGCCAGCTGAGTGAGTCCAGAGTCTTTCTGTTTAACGTGGACCTCAGAGTGTCTGACAACTGGAGGAAATTAACTTGACACTGGCCTTGTTTCTATGAAATGAGCTGTGTGTAAGCCTTCAAAACACCAAGTCTGCTCTTACAAAGTCATGATAGTACAGAGTAATTACAGTATGTTTGCAGGGATTTTCACCAAGTACTGACACAACAACTCTTCTATGACCTGACCAAACATGTAGGGATCACTGTTTTTGGTTTTATAATGTTTTTTTTTTTTTTTTTTCCCAAAGGGTCGTATTTTTAAATTGAAGGTAAAAAATGTAGCCAATTTCTGACTTTTGTTGAATGCTTGTTCTGCAAATTATATTTCTACAATCAGATTTTCACCTAGAGCTGCAAGCAGGTACACCAGGTACACCAGGTACACCAGGTACACCAGCATCGCTCGAAACCGAACTGGAACTTCACTTCTTTTTTTTTTTTTTTTTTTTTTTTTTTTAAACCAATACTTTCTATGATTTTAGGTACAAAATGGCATCAAAAACCAAAAACAATGAATACTCTCCATCAGTAACTGGATTAAGGGCCTTGAAACATAAAAGGTTCCCATCAGAAGTGAAACATGCAGAGATGATATGAGGGGTTTTGGTAGAGCTGGTTTGGTTCAGACCTGTAGGCTATAAAAATGCTGATTTTATACACAAGTCATAGGTCCTTATGCTGCAGGGTTCCTAAACATTTCTCCATTTTCTCATCCCAAATTCTCAAGGCTGAGGATTCGAACACTGATCGCTGTGGTACAACGGTGGATGACATGACTATATTCACTATACAAGACTGCAAATAGAACGACACAGGGACTGATAAGAGAATTTCCAACAAATGTACGTGTATCATCAGTTTTTTGTTTTGTTATCCAATTTTAGAATTCCAATATTTTTCAGACTATTGGAACCTGTGGATGCATAGGAACCCTGCATGTGCACATACAGACAGAACAGCTTGTTGTGGGCAGATACAATGCAAAGGGTAAATAATTATCATGTAATTACTGACCACACAGGTCAGTGAGGTAATACTACTTGAGGTCTGACATGGCGTTTAAGGATCCAGTTGTGGTTGAAGACAGTTTTGCAGTTTGCTTTGTGAGTTAAGACCTTTTTGTTTCTCATGTCTGACAGAACATTGGTTTGCTGTGTCACACAGTCAAAGAACAGCACGCTCCTGAGGAACAGTCCTCCTCAAGATTTAGAAACGCACATTTATAAGCACCAAAATGACCAAACACTAGTCATTTTATTCAGAATTTCATTATCAAAATGTTCAAAAAACCTCAGTCCCTGTGCGAAACCTGAATTTGCTAGTTTGTTTCTTAAAAAGACTCATAAATTTGTGTCTTGCGAAGTCAACAGTATTGAACACTGGCTATTCTGCAAAAAGATTCCAAGTTTTATACTGATTTTTGTGAGAAGAAAAAAAAAACAGTTTTCACATAATTTTCTGAAATGTTCTTACATTGTTTTTTCTTGAACACAACATTTGCAACTCCGACTGGCAGTGAGAAGTAACTGAAACACACCCAAGAGACGCAACTTTGTGACATCAGTAATCGGCACTCATCTTAATCAAACCGGCTGACATGTTCTACTGAGGCTGATCAGATGGGTGTGTGTGTTTGTGTTTTTATATTTACAAAAGTCATTACTTTTGCAGCTGTGGGAGAGGTTTGCAGTAATTTCTTTTTTAACAAATGTAGCATAGGGGAAATGCATGGTGTGCGGGGCGCAGGGTGCCAACAACATCTGCTGCTAACAGCTCAAACTACAAAGCTGTAAACATGTGGGTGTATCAGCATTTGCCTGTGCGGCGCTGCTGAGAGACTGCACGAACATGGACGGATACTGAGGACTGCATTGGAGTGAAAAGTCGACAGATTAAAATCTATAGAAAAAGAACTAGCTCTCTGCACAAATATTGCATTTTTATATCTTGCAGGCATTTATGGACATGAGTGTTTGGTAAGATAGAATTTGTTGATAATGATAAAAAAAAAAAAAAAAGACTGTACTCTATAGAAGGCAGGTGAGATGAGGAGCATGGGTAGGGGGTGGGGGGGTAGTTTGAAGCTTTCTTATCTGCTGTAATGCTATGAGAGCAATGTAACATACTTAGACCCCACATACACACAAACTGGCAAAGGATCTGATATATTTGTTTTGTGTCTTTCTCAGACAACATAAAGATGCATTTATATATTTTGATACTGATAGTGAGTCTGTCTTTAAAAATCCTAATTTATCACCTCCGGACATATAGATAGCACTTCTGGGATCCTCTCTGTTTTGTTTTTTTTTTTTTCTTTTTTTAACAGTCTAAAGTCTCTCTTACTCTCTTCAATCTCTCTCTCTCTCTGTAATGACATTTTATGTACAATATTGGTATATAGAACATAAATTACTACACAAAAAATTTTAGCCTATTCACAATTAACAATCATCAATAACCCAATAGCAAATTAGACAAAGCCAACAAAATGGAAATGGAAAAAAAAAAAAAAAAAAAAGATTCAGAGACAATTTCCTTGATAAACAGCTTAAAATTGATGCCTGTTATATAACCTTTACCTTTTCCATAAACTTTCTGTGCTCCCAAGATGTGTCGAGTGTATTGTGAAAAGAAAAAGAGAAGAAAAAAAAAACACCTTTTTTTTTTATATAAAAAACGTCCTCCTCTCAGTCATTGTCTCAGGAGAATGAATTCTGCACGGAGCTCAAAAAGACGGTCACGTGATCCCCGACATCTTGTTTGCGTGTAAACAGAGCACCAGTAGTGTCTTGGTTCCATGTGTCTCTTCTGTACAAAAGTATAAATATATGCTTTCTCTCCATTTGTTTTTTTTTTTCTTTTTCATTTTTTTTTTTGTTTTGTTCACATATCTAGGATGTAGCGGACAAAAAAAATGGTTGTTTTAGTTCCTAAAAACACACCAGTGTTGCAGTGTCTGTGCTGGAGGTTGCCAGTTTTGTGTTGTACTCGTCCCCGCCCCCGTTAGATCCCGATTTGCTGGCTTATGCTGACTTTTAGCGTCGGGCGTTTGCTTGGTGTTGTTGGTTGATTGATCGTCTTTGCATAAATAAAAAAAGTTTCGGCACAGTCTGCAGCCACTGGGCCAAAATTCAAAAAATAAAAAGAAAGAAACAACCGTTGTCCGTTTTTAGCTACAGCAGATCCATCTTGGGTCTGTAATGGAGCAGGAGGGGGGATTTCTGGAAGGAAAAAACAATGACACAACCTCAGTGTATGAGCGGTTTTTATCAAACCCTTAAACAGACTGTTTGCTGAAACAGCAATTAGCTTATCACTGGTACCTAAGCATGGCATGCCTGTCAAGCCTTGGATTTCTGCACATGTTGAATGGAGCTCTGGTAAAATCAAGACCCTTGTGCTGGTTTCTCATTTCATGATGAGTCAGCTGGAAACATTAAAAATTAAACCAGGTGCCGGTTTCACAATAGACTTCAGACAGACGTCTAAACTCATCTGCACAAAGCCGTCTACTTCTTGATTAGCTAAAGTAGGACTTATTTGCTTTAAGTTCTGTGTAAATTACGACTTTACTTTCATACTGTGGCTCCTTAATGTGGCAGGGCTCAGTACTTCTGCTAACTCATGGTCAGGCTCAGGACAGTTCCTTTCTTGCGATGTTCTCACTGCTGTATATTTTCAACAGGTTATGGCGGTCTCTTAACGACTCTTCCTTTTCATTACTTTCTCCACCGTACTGTTAACAAATAAATTATGAGCGACATTGACTTGTTTTTTCTGTCGTTCGGTGCCACTGGTCAGCAGGTCTCAGTGATTGTTACCATGGAAACACAGCTCTAATGTGGCCAACTTTTTAGGCTTAAAATACGTCCATATTTATTTTTGCTGAAGTGTCTAAAACCGAGCCAACACCCCAGACTAGTCTAAAGTATCTTTGAAACTGTCACCAACTCACGCAGAATTAACCTAGCACTAATTAGCTAGCTAGCTAGCTAGCTAGCCACAGCTGATAAAATACACCAGATTTGCTTAAATGAAGAATCTGCTCGTCTGAAATCAAAGCTGCAATAGTTTCAACAGTAACCATGAATTAATTTCTTGTGTGAAGTTTGACACTGTTGTCCTTGTAAACTGCAGACTTGAGGTTCTAGAATGTAAAATTTGAGAAGCATAGCAACGGTAACCAAAGGGGGCGGGGCTTAGTATATAGTCAGTTTGTGAGGATGCCTTCCAAATGATGCAGTTCAATTAAACAGTAGGCTTAACTCAGTGAAATATTAATGGAAACAAAGCCTTAAAACACAACTGTACAGATCTCTGTCTTGCTTTTTTACTTTAAAGGTTGGATAAGAAACATTTTATTCATTAATACTTGTGAATCAGTCAAACATTAAACCACAATATTTATCTTTCTGGAACATGCGTTACCTTAAATCTCCATCTTGTCACAACAACAAATTTCAAAGTGTGGTCCTTCCCCAAGATTTCCTCATTGCATAAAATGTCCAGCTGTGAAAAGACATCAAAAGAGCAAATTATTGAACAATTCCTAACCAGGGACGGTTTGAACTTCCTCACAGCATTTCCAACACCATTACCCTCAGAAGAAGTAAACAACATGACACACGATGACTAACACTGGTTTAAGGCCACTTATAGCCGGGTTTCCAGACTGCATCCGAGTGGTGTGATGCAGAACTTCCATCAATTATCCTCTCCTCCCTCTGCTCTCATTTTTCAGCTTGAATTATAACATCACTATTTCTTGGACAGAAAGCTGGGGGAAGCTCATTTTGACATGAGGTGGGCCCTGGCATCTGTGCAGCAGTGGGGCTTTTTAGGAGAACACAGAAATTCAATAGTGAGCATGAGGCAGGCACGCCAAAAATCTACCTCTCCTGTGAAGTCAACATTGATATTCTGCTGAGCAGTGCCTCGCATCTGCATCTGCCAATCAATACAGTGAGACAGAGAGGGAAGCAGAGAGAGAGAGAGAGAGAGAGGGAAGGTTTGAGACAAACACTGCCACAGCGCCACCTGCTGGCTACCTCTGGAAGAACACCAGCCAGCCAACTTGATGTAGCTTCCCTAATGTGAATATTCACCGTTTTTCTTCTATGATAGAAAAGTGACGGTCTTTAGATTTCCACAAAGCAAGCAATTTGAAGATGTGAACTTGGGCTTTGGGAAACTGCAGACGTTTTTCACTATTTTCTGGTACTTTATAGAGCATTAAACATTTGATAGCTGAATCAAAAAGGCAGATCAACCCATAATAAAAGTAATCGTTAGTTGCTGTCCTATTTACTATAGAGGGATTTATTGTACACTATCTTGTATTTGGAAAGAGATGAAGGTATTCAGGACCCACTGAAGACTCATAGGTAAATCTGAGGGATTGCAAGGTGATTAACAAGGAAAAAAAAAAACTTTCTTACACAAAATTATTTTTTTCTGATTTCTCAAGGTTTTGTGAAATATTAAAGAGTTCCAGGAAAGTTCAAACTATCATAATGAACCAATTAAAGAAGAGAACATCGTGTATCTGAGCTGCCTAATGACAACCATGTTTCTCCAAGTGTAATAATGTTGAATTTTTCACATAAACTGAAGGATCAAGATTCTTTACGGGTTGATAAAATTCTTCTTCTACTTAAGCCAGGCCTGGGTGCTTTCCTTTTGGAGGTTTTCCAGGCACGTCTAACAGGGAGGCGACCCCGGGGTAGTCCCAGAAGTCTCTGGAGGGGGATTACATATCCCATCTGGCCTGTGAACGCCTTGGGATCCTCTAGGAGGAGCTGGAGGACGTTGACGGGGAGAGGGAATACCCTGCTTAGTTTGCTGCCACCGTGACCCAACCTCGGATAAGCGGAGGAAAACGGATGGATGCTTTTCACATTACAGTGACAAGGGGGTTGTGAGAAGGTTTTGCTTTGTTAAAAATGATCACAAGCCAAAAAGGTTTGGGAACCGCCGCTTTAAAATGTGAGAATCTTGTAGAGCTTCACATAAGACAACTCCTACACTTGATTTAACATCTACAGTCACTTTGGAAGATGAAGTAGAGCTCTTTTTAAAGAGGTCGGTTTGCTCATTTATTCACGCGTTCAGTTCCTGCACAGACATTTAGATGGGTGACAGGACCACAACGGTGGGTTTACAAACACGAGGAATGAGTAAATGGTGCGCTGTTCTTTCACAAAGCGACTCGTTGTAAAGCTCGGCGCAGAATAGGTTCGAACAACAACTTTTGATAGTCGATAGATAGCACAACAATGGCTGGCGGAGAGAGCGGCCGCCTCGCCAAAGTTGTGCTATGGAGGCCGACGATATGATGGAGCCTACCCACTCATCTCCGTGACAGCCAGTGAAAAAAAAAAAAAAAAAAAAAAGTCACACAGAAAATAGAAAAATAGAAAAATAGAAGGCAAGAAGGCGACTGTGATGATTATTCACGGCATCCTGAAAAAAATCCATCTGTCAAATTATCGCCCACCCTCCCCCCTGTTGCTCCGAACGGGGCGGTGAAGACAATAAATAGAAAAATTACCACATCTAGATATCAAAAGGGCTCGTTTCCTGCCAAATGTAACAAACACAAAAGGCCCTTGTATGAGTCAGTGCAGAAAAGTATACTAACTGACCTTTATGTAATATCTTCTGATTAACTAAACTTTCTGATACTCATGGCCCACACCGCCCAGCTGGTGCTTCAAACAAGTTAAAACAAATGCCAAGAATTAAGAGATTTGTTCCAAACTTGCTACAAATCCATTTTGGGAAAACAAAAAAACATGCAGTTTTTGTTTGTCTTTAATAAGCACGGATGATTGTATCTACATTATTTGTTAAGCACGGGAATTATTTTGTCACAAAATGCTGTTGGGATGAAACACTTTTTTTTAACTTTCATCTTGTCCAACCACCAAGTCGAGATCCTTTAAGAACCATTTATGAGCTGATTGTCTATTATTTCCACACTTTCATATGTTGTATATTTCTTATCCTTTTGTGCGGACTGATGTCAAGTTTCAAACTGCAAATGAATTTCTTTTATCATCCTGTAATCTTTGTAGTTTCTAATTTTTTATACCGTTACTAAAAACTACATTTAGCATGTGACAGATCTAGCAGTGGTTTCCTCTCAGCACACTGCTTTCCGGGCTGCTGGAGCATGTTATTATCTGTACCTCATTAAATGATGTCAGGTTAAGCTTTTTGGCGATGAACTTCTTGAGGTGGAGGACTGTGGCTTGTGCTGAACAGCGGATCCACTTGCGCTTCAGACCTCGAAGCTTGCTGCTGTTGCACTCCAAGCAGATGCTGACCTGTCGGAGGAAACACAAACACAGAGCAGAAGGTGAACATCCTCCTGTGGTCAAACACATGAGATGTCAGCAGCTCCCACAGACATGAAAACATCAGTATGACGGTTTTTCATTGTACTTAAGAGTACCTGTGCTGTCAAACACAAAACACAGTTTATTAGAAATTACAATGGCACTCAGAACAATGCATACCGCCGCCAAGGCCAAACAACCTACACGTCTGTCTAGCTCATAATAGAAATAAATAGCTTATAATAGAAAAAGAAAAGGAAAGATAAAGTAGTTTGCTAACATAAATTATTTATTTGTCATAAAACATGTTGAGGAAAATCTCGCAAAATTAAAGAAAGTGGACCAGGAAAATACCCCACCAAGTTTGGTACAAGTCACTTCAGTACTTTCAGTGTCCTGCTGACAAACGAACAGACAAACATACAAAGGTGAAGACACAACTTCCTTGGCAGAGGCAATTAAAGATTTCCCAAAGGAGTAATAGACAGTTAGCTAGACAGTTAGCTTCCACTACAGCTGTGCTATACTCAAAGAAACTTTCCTCTGACGTTGCCTGACAAGCTAAGTCTGAAATTAGCATTCCACCAGTAACAGAGGATAAACACTTTTTCTGTAGTTGAAGATAATATATGCTAGAATGTGAATCAATTTACATGTATTAATAGCTTTTTTTTTTATTGCCAATGTGTGAACAGAACTTAATGTAGCTTAAAAAATGAGACCTTCCTCGACTCTCTCTGTAGCCTGTAACAGCATTTTTTTTTTTTTTTTTTTTAGAAACAAATCAAAGAACGTGACGTTTACTCTCTCCTGAGCGCCGCCTCAAAGCCTCTCTTCTGCTCCCCTGCAGCAGTTAGCTTAGAAATGGAGTCCCTAACCCGAACCCTAACCCTCCAGCACAAAACAGAACATCTGTTACGTGATTTTATGTCCATTATCTGCGCGTCTAACGTTGTTGTTTCTCAACATTCAGTACGGTAACGTTAGACAAATTATAGCCTCACATATCCTGCTACCTGGGGGCTGCTAGCTGGAGAGCAAATATAGTTTATAGTCAAACTATAATAACAGCGTAACCTTCGTTACCGTATCTATGAACATGATTGTGCATGAGCACGAGCAACAGGATGCTGACTACAGTTCTTTTAATGGCCACCAGTGTCAGTAATAACAAGGGTTTTCTGAATTTTGCCTTCGAGCAAATTTTGGCCTTTTTTATGCCCCAGTATCTGAGGAGCCACGATTAGCTTGTCATTTCATTTTCATCTATTCAATAATATTAGTTTTTGTTGTTTAATGAAAATTCAACTTCTAGCTTGGCTGTAGATTTTTAGCTGAAGCTGGAGTAGTGCTGCTGTTTTAGAAACCGGTTTCTGAGCTGGCAGTTAAACAGCAGAGATGCCCTGTACACACTGTATTCAAAACATCTCAAACACTGTTAGTTTACTGTGGAAAAACGACCAGTTTCTCCTTTCCCTTATTTATCATGAAAATAGTCTTCAGGATTATAGAAGACCAGTGTTATGATGTCTGGTTAATTCAGACTGACACTGGTACTGATTTCCACCTCTGCTTCCACAGCACATCTCACTCAACCAGTATTGTCTGTTTGTCTTTGGCTTATTGGCTTCTTTCCTGCGACTGAGTGTCGCCGCCATTGGCCCGTGCACTTGTTTTTTCCCCTGAGGTGACACGGTAGGTGGGTTTGGAAGTCGACGGCTGCAGGAGTCAGAATGCATTACTGCCACTGAGCCTCTACCCCCACATACCAAAGCACAGGAGAGGAGGACAGGAGCTTTGCATTTCTTCATTTGTGGGTGTCCTCCTGTCTTCTCTTTTATCTCTCTCTTTGGAGACAGGAAGAGTTAACATTGCTCCGCTTTCTGCTTAAACTTGGAAATCACCTCTGTTCTCAGATCAACACTGTACTATATCTGCTTTCCAGTAGCACTTGGCTGTGAGGGAGGATCACAATGTGAAATAAAAGCCTTGGTGGTGATCTGGACTCTGCAGCGTCTGCGAGGCAGTTTCATTACATTACATCAACAACAACGTCTTTAAGGAGCCAAAGAGTCCTGCTACAGACACACACACACACACACACACACACACACACACACACACACACACACACACACACACACACACACACACACACACACACACACACACACA